TCAAAAAATGAACCTTGTATTTTTTTCATCTGAACAGGAGTGTTGAACAATACAACATCAACAAGTGAATTCGAAATTGAATTACGCTTCATTATTGCACAAAGTGCGACCCAAGCAAGGAGAGTATCACCGCTCGCTATGTATAGTTGCAATAAGGTCATAAATATTCATCCAGTAATCAAAACATTGATGCTACTCTCCCTTTCATTATCGTGTATCGCTCTTTACTCTCTGTCCCCTCCCTCTCCCGTGCAAAAGTCCGACAGTGACCAATTAAAAGAATGCATTCCCAACAATGACGTTTTATTAAACGTTCACTTTTATCTCTACTTGTTGAAACTGTTTACATTGTATGCAAGAATTTTCATAAGCCACAGCGAAGCTGAAATTTCCATTAGTATTTCCTATACTCAGTGTTCAGGAACTACGATTATTATTGTCTGCGGTTCCCTTGTATTCTTCAGCGTCTACCTCAGTCACAACTAGCACACCTCGTCACCAATGTAACATGTGACAGCAGCAGATGAGCTACAAGTCATCGTCATAGTAATATCTGTAAGAGTAGGAGCAACACGTCATCCGTCAGCCATAGTCATGACAGTACCAGTATGTCAGCACCAGCACAGTCAGCACCAGTACGTCAGCTACAAAAGTAAAGTAGCTGAGCCATAAAGTTACCATCATCAGCTACTGGTGCTAGTAACATTTCATCACATTTCATAGCTATACATGGCATCATCCTCACTTGATCTTGCTACCTGTTATTATCCCTTATAAGGCGTGACCACCTTCACCTTGCTAGACGGTTAATTCTTGCCTGGAGCCACTGCGGGCAACATCACAGCCGCGCTCTCCCACGTTTTCTGCACCTGCTCTTACACTGGTGAGCTAAAATACAGGAACGACTTTCAGAGTTCTTGTTCTCGCAGCCTGGCTTGAGTCAGGATTCACTCTTAATCATCTTATTATTTCGTAAGTCAACACGGCCATCGCAACTGAATGATTAGGAATGACATAAACTTAATAAAGTTCCTTACTGAAGATATGAGACTGTTAATAACTCCCCTTGTTAGTAAAGGTAAGGTATTTAAAAGACTTGATCAATTTATGTTCCAAGAACTCTCTTGCCTGATCCGCCGTTACTATATCAGTGAGCACAATTTTATGATCAAGTCCCTACGATATTTTCAGGTATTAGAAAATTATTGGGCCCGTGTTCCAAGGTGTACTATAGTGATGAAAATAAGTGTCCAACATTCATTCTTATTTATGGCGCAGCTAGAAACGTACTCTTCAGTGACCCAAGCTCGGGTCAGGAGGGAAGGATCACTCGTTCACGTATATTTTAACATATCAATTGTTTCTCATCATGAATGAAACCATGTTCACCATCACACCTTTTCTAGCTTTCTTTCTAGATGTGCACGGGGAAAAAAACAACAAGAAACATCCTATTAACAAGAGCTACACGATTGTGCACGCTTCGTGTAAATGAATGTTTTCAGATACAATTTCTGATATCTACGATGCTGCTATCTACCATCGTCTATTTAACATTTGGAAGTCTGAAATATCCAGGGTAGATAATATTTTGTGTAGGACTTTTAAGATCACCAAGCCACCTATGTATCTTCCTTATCTGCTCTGTAAATGTCTGCTGTTGCTGGCGGTGGTTTAAATACAAGGATAATGACCAGATTTTTCTCATTTTCCACTTTAATACCTTGTATTTTACGGTATCATTCGATTACAATAGTTCTGTACAACAAAGCGAATATATTACATCGAGTCTGTTACACTGCAGGTGATTCACAAGGAAGAGAGATTGGAAAAAAAATTATACACCTCAAATACTACAACTGTCACCAACAGTGAACGGAACAACAGTAATTACACCAGGATGAAACAGTACTGCTCACACCAAGACTATTTGCAAAAATCACTCAAGCATAAGTGGGTCTCTCCACCAGTACTCATAATCAGCCAACAAAACCACTAGTTCGAAGCAACCAAACTATATCTTTCTTTTTGCCAATTTTCAAGGATTAAAAACAAAAATAGAACAGAAGAGGAACTTAGATTCAGGTGAAATTCCAAAGGTTATTAAAAGTGCAAATCTAAGTCTCTCTTCAAAAACGAGGAAGAAGAGCGACAGGAAAATAATATTACAGACCAGTAGCACCAGGAACACTTATTAACGAAGTGCTTGAAAAGGTGTTGAGATGACAACTGCTTTTATAGAAAAGCATGACCTACACAACCCAACTCAAAATGGTTTACAATGATTTTCCAAAGGCATTTGGCAAATATGACCATGGAGTGAAAACTCATAAAATGAGGTAAAAATTGTCCTGTGCTCCGGTCAAGGCAGAAGAGCTAAAAATGTAGGGATTGTTTACTGCCAGCACAGAGCCAGTAAAGCATTTACACTCGGAATTCCTGAAAATATTTGGACTGTACTCTCTAGAGCGAAGCAGAGAGAGAGAGAGAGAGAGAGAGAGAGAGAGAGAGAGAGAGAGAGAGAGAGAGAGAGAGAGAGAGAGAGAGAGAGAATATATGCCAGAAGATATATATATATATGTATATAATATAGGGAGCTACCACCTCTAGAACTGTCCTAGGGACCCTCATCATCAGAGAAAAAGAATAAACTTGCTTCAGGGAAAACTCAAGGTTCTCCCTGAAGCTGCTTGAGAATTTTCTCCTACCACCCCCTATATTTCAAGTATGTTTTATTTAAAGACAAAATACATTGGCCATATATATATATATATATATATATATATATATAATATAATATATATATATATATATATATATATATATATTATATATACATATATATAGACACACACACACACACAAACACTGAGCTAGATACCTCAAAGGCAATGGGGCCAGATAACATCTCCCCATGGGTATTGAGAGAGGAGCAGAGGCGCTATGTGTACCCCTAACAACAATATTCAATACATCTATCGAAACAGGGAGATTGCCTGAGGCATGGAAGACAGCAAATGTAGTCCCAATCTTTAAAAAAGGAGACAGACATGAAGCATTAAACTACAGACCAGTGTCACTGACATGTATAGTATGCAAAATCATGGACAAGATTATCAGGAGAAGAGTGGTGGAACACCTAGAAAGGAATGATCTCATCAACAGGAGCCAACATGGTTTCAGGGACGGGAAATCCTGTGTCACAAACCTACTGGAGTTCTATGACATGGTGACAGCAGTAAGACAAGAGAGAGAGGGGTGGGTGGATTGCATATTCTTGGACTGGAAGAAGGCGTTTGACACAGTTCCACACAAGAGATTGGTGCAAAAACTGGAGGACCAAGCAGGGATAACAGGGAAGGCACTACAATGGATCAGGGAATACTTGTCAGGAAGACAGCAGCGAGTCATGGTACGTGGCGAGGTGTCAGAGTGGGCACCTGTGACCAGCGGGGTCCCACAGGGGTCAGTCCTAGGACCAGTACTGTTTCTGGTATTTGTGAACGACATGACGGAAGGAATAGACTCTGAGGTGTCCCTGTTTGCAGATGACGTGAAGTTGATGAGAAGAATTCACTTGATCGAAGACCAGGCAGAACTACAAAGGGATCTGGACAGGCTGCAGACCTGGTCCAGCAATTGGCTCCTGGAGTTCAATCCCACCAAGTGCAAAGTCATGAAGATTGGGGGAGGGCAAAGAAGACCGCAGACGGAGTACAGTCTAGGGGGGCCAGAGACTACAAACCTCACTCAAGGAAAACGATCTTGGGGTGAGTATAACACCAGGCACATCTCCTGAAGCGCACATCAATCAAATAACTGCTGCAGCATATGGGCGCCTAGCAAACCTCAGAACAGCATTCCGACATCTTAATAAGGAATCGTTCAGGATCCTGTACACCGTGTACGTTAGGCCCATATTGGAGTATGCGGCACCAGTTTGGAACCCACACCTAGCCAAGCACGTAAAGAAACTAGAAAAAGTGCAAAGGTTTGCAACAAGACTAGTTCCAGAGCTAAGAGGTATGTCCTACGAGGAGAGGTTAAGGGAAATCAACCTGACGACACTGGAGGACAGGAGAGATAGGGGGGACATGATAACGACATACAAAATACTGAGAGGAATTGACAAGGTGGACAAAGACAGGATGTTCCAGAGATTGGACACAGTAACAAGGGGACACAGTTGGAAGTTGAAGACACAGATGAATCACAGGGATGTTAGGAAGTATTTCTTCAGCCACAGAGTAGTCAGTAAGTGGAATAGTTTGGGAAGCGATGTAGTGGAGGCAGGATCCATACAAAGCTTTAAGCAGAGGTATGATAAAGCTCACGGTTCAGGGAGAGTGCCTAGTAGCGATCAGTGAAAAGGCGGGGCCAGGAGCTCGGACTCGACCCCTGCAACCTCAACTAGGTGAGTACATGCCCACGTATACACTTGGAAAGTACTGGAGATCCAGGACCCAAATCTACACGCACACAACTATAACTTACTGGCTGGCGTTCATGAGACATATGGGAGGAAGTGTAAAATAAATATATTGTTCACGTATTATGATCATCGAAGAATACTAGAACATTGTGTCAATATCCGTGGTTCAAGGCCATTCACTCTAAAACCAGCAGATTAAAAATATTGCTGGAAAAGATGTAGAAGCTTTCATAAGAAAACTGGATTACTATCTTCGCCAGGTGCCAGAACATCCAGGATGTGATGGATATGTAGGGCGGAGGGCCGCTGGCAACAGTCTGGTTGAACAGGCAGTCGACAAAGCAACTTGGCTAAAGGTATGGCTAAAGGTAACTGGTATGGTAGAAAAACCCTGGAATCGGACAAAAGTATGTATATTGAAGGTACATTAGATGTCAGATCCGGGCTGTCTTACACGGAAGTACAAACTACACGGAGTCTCCATGTTCTAATTGTAGCGTAACCCTGAGAGTTCTGTAGTAGGTGTGTGTGGGGGGGGGGGGGTGATACACACAGAAAACATACTGACCTTGGTCTCGTTGAACTTGTTGTGGGAGAGGAGAACTTCTTCACACCTGTAAACCATATTTGCTGGGGGTAAACACGGCTCAGGTGGAGGGTATCAAGTGCTGGTAGGAGCCAGGTGTGCTGGTGGGTTGTAATGCGTCAGTGGTTGCTACCACCACACACCTACTCCAACGTGCAGAACGAAGCGTACACTACATCCAACAAAACTTTTCTTTTTCAGATATTTCTTGGTAGTTAAGAATTCACAAGATTGACGTGGAAGTTATTCCTTTAAATTAAGAAACACCTGCAATTATAACGCAAATAAACAAAAGAACGTTTTCTGATGCTCATCACTGCAGGTTTACCACTAGATTACACTAGATATCAGTTTGTTTCCATTTCGTTAATGAAAAGCGTTTATTACAGATAAAACTATGTTCTTCGTCTACAAAACGTTCCTCATTCATAATATATATCCCAATTTCAAATTACTATCACTGAGTATCCGCGAAGCTCTCTTCTACTGTGAGAACCACCTTCCCAGGATACTCTTCTACTGTGAGAACCACCTTCCCAGGATACTCTTCTACTGTGAGAACCACCTTCCCAGGATACTCTTCTACTGTGAGAACTACCTTCCCAGGATACTCTTCTACTGTGAGAACCACCTTCCCAGGATACTCTTCTACTGTGAGAACCACCTTCCCAGGATACTCTTCTTACTGTGAGAACCACCTTCCCAGGATACTCTTCTACTGTGAGAACCACCTTCCCAGGATACTCTTCTACTGTGAGAACCACCTTCCCAGGATACTCTTCTACTGTGAGAACCACCTTCCCAGGATACTCTTCTACTGTGAGAACCACCTTCCCAGATACTCTTCTACTGTGAGAACCACCTTCCCAGGATACTCTTCTACTGTGAGAACCACCTTCCCAGGATACTCTTTCTACTGTGAGAACCACCTTCCCAGGATACTCTTCTACTGTGAGAACCACCTTCCCAGGATACTCTTCTACTGTGAGAACCACCTTCCCAGGATACTCTTCTACTGTGAGAACCACCTTCCCAGGATACTCTTCTACTGTGAGAACCACCTTCCCAGGATACTCTTCTACTGTGAGAACCACCTTCCCAGGATACTCTTCTACTGTGAGAACCACCTTCCCAGGATACTCTTCTACTGTGAGAACACCTTCCCAGGATACTCTTCTACTGTGAGAACCACCTTCCCAGGATACTCTTCTACTGTGAGAACCACCTTCCCAGGATACTCTTCTACTGTGAGAACCACCTTCCCAGGATACTCTTCTACTGTGAGAACCACCTTCCCAGGATACTCTTCTACTGTGAGAACCACCTTCCCAGGATACTCTTCTACTGTGAGAACCACCTTCCCAGGATACTCTTCTACTGTGAGAACCACCTTCCCAGGATACTCTTCTACTGTGAGAACCACCTTCCCAGGATACTCTTCTACTGTGAGAACCACCTTCCCAGGATACTCTTCTACTGTGAGAACCACCTTCCCAGGATACTCTTCTACTGTGAGAACCACCTTCCCAGGATACTCTTCTACTGTGAGAACCACCTTCCCAGGATACTCTTCTACTGTGAGAACCACCTTCCCAGGATACTCTTCTACTGTGAGAACCACCTTCCCAGGATACTCTTCTACTGTGAGAACCACCTTCCCAGGATACTCTTCTACTGTGAGAACCACCTTCCCAGGATACTCTTCTACTGTGAGAACCACCTTCCCAGGATACTCTTCTACTGTGAGAACCACCTTCCCAGGATACTCTTCTACTGTGAGAACCACCTTCCCAGGATACTCTTCTACTGTGAGAACCACCTTCCCAGGATACTCTTCTACTGTGAGAACCACCTTCCAAGGATACTCTTCTACTGTGAGAACCACCTTCCCAGGATACTCTTCTACTGTGAGAACCACCTTCCCAGGATACACCACACTATAATGATCTTTTTCCCTCCACCGTCATACTGAGACAATATACAAGTTAGCATCCATCATTAAACTATCAAAACTGTGAAACATTTAGTATATCTAAAACCTGAAGAGAGTATACCACCAACAATGAAGCGTTTTTATATACAGTAATCTCCGAATGTCTATGAATGTAACATTAACAAGATTTTACGCAGCCTAAGAGATGACATGAGCAGTGTCACAGGTGCAGTTAGTGAATACTGGACGTTATCTGTATTTAGAGAAAAACTGAATAAATCAGCAGCGTGTTGCTACCCAGTCTATATGAAAGTTACCCGCTGCTGCGGCTTATGCAAAATGTCGAAATCTGGCAGCTGAGGTGGGAGACTCCAGTAGGGTAATGAGGATATCATCAAGTATTCAATTAAGGGTTCATCAGCTAAGGAAGCTTCAAAGGTATCGCTCCAGCTGGAGTCACTATCATATGGGCAATGCCATCTGTCAGGAGATTCGTGTAGAATACAAGGTAGGGGTTTAGTCTAAGTTCATCACCCTGACTTCACCAACATTACCTAACACTACACTCGGGTACTACCTCCGGCAGTACAACCTTTGGCCTCAAGCAATACTACTATCAAGATCAACTACCGTTTAGGTTCATCATCCGTATCGTGGGAGTGGCAGCAGCAGCAGGAGGGTCACCAGCATGGGGAAGTGGTGCCGCAAATGAGAAGATTACTGCACCAATTGCCCTCCGGGCCACAACCACCAGCTGTTTTAACCACCGAGTGTTTTTGTGTCGCCCTCGCACGTTCCTTCCCTCTGGTAACCTAAGCTACCCTCAAGTTTCAGCTGGTACTGAGGACGAGGCTCAAGTACCAGCATACATCGCACGTCCAAGGGGCACTGATCGGTTAGTGTTGAGAGCCACCCAGCACAGTCTGCTAACAACTGCAACACACTAGATGGACACTCAAAGAATGGAAATCAGTGGCAGCTGGTGCAGACGATCACTACTACTGAACCACCTTCAGGTCATCCTCACTACACCACGTTCCCATCTATATCTTCCACTCACTTTCTCCCACTTTCCCCGTCACTTTCACTTTTTATCCTACTTTAGTACGACCCCTACAGATTCAGCGCTTCCCTAATGAATATATATAAAATAAAATAAGAATAAACTAAAAAATATTTTTACAGATGTTGTTTCATATTTTCTTACATGGAAAAACTACCTAGTTATGACATGCTGTTGGAAGACAATACTTACCAAAACAAAGTAACACTCATTCCGACTTACTGGGTAATTCCAACCTACAGGGTAACTAAGCAAATTCCAAGCTTCCCGCGAAGGTTTCGTTCAGGAAACAAAAGGCCTCAAGCTCTATTTCTACCCCTCTGTTGTTTATTTGCAAACACACACAATTATGTGTGTATATTATCTCTAATTATCAAAATTCACTTAAGTATTCTTGGCCAAGTGTATGCATCAATGTTCTGTATGCACTTATTCTTGCTCTTCCTCCCTCATGGACCGGGCCGCGGGGGCGTTGATCCCCGGAATAACCTCCAGGTAACCTCACATTTCCTTCCACTGGTCCCTTCAAGTGTTGCGTGAGGGAGGAAGGGAAGGGGAGAAGAGGTCCTAAGACTATGGTGGTGTTATGGTACAGTGAATAACCTACCCCACCTTCACTTAACACTAACAACCTCAAGCAACACACCAGTGTTCTGGCTCTAGAAGGGATAGACAAGTAAAAAAAAGACTAAAGGTGAAATGCTTAAGATAAGAGTAAAGTGGAGTGGCTGTTCAGCTGGCAAGTTATAAGTAGTCCCTTACCACTATCTGCAGTACCACCTGCCCAGCTGGAAGGAATAACTGACAGTGCTACAAACCCCAGGGTGCTACTGGCAGTGCTACCACCCCCAAGGTGCTACTGACAGTATTACTACCACTAGGGTGCTATTGACACCACCACCACCAGGACGTGACTGACAGTACCACCAGGACGTGACTGACAGTACCACCAGGATGTGGCTGACAGTGCCACCAGGACATGGCTGACAGTACTACCAGGACGTGACTGACAGTGCCACCAGGACGTGACTGACAGTGCCACCCGAACGTGACTGACAGTGCCACCAGGACGTGGCTGACAGTACTAGCCGCAACTGACACCGGTCTTCCTCCCTCCCTTCATCAATACAGGTAAGTACTAAGGCAGCACGTGGCATTACTGTTATTAACGCCGGGACAAGGGATTGAGACACTGTTATTTATACTCCCTCCCCTGCCAGCTGCGCTCTCCACCGCCGCCTCCGTCAACACATCAGGGTATACACATCAAGGTGCGCATGCGTGTATAAAAATTTAGTATATCTCGGTGTATATACACAAATGAATATATCTCGGTGCATATACACAGATGAGCACATTTCAATGTATACACACAAATGGTGTGTATCCCCGTATACTAACATCGATATATATGTATGTACAGTTATACACCAATAAGTGTACCTCATGGTGTATCTCAGTGGCTTATATACAATATGTTGTGAGCCATTTTGCTAACGTATATAGTTTCCTTTAATCCCTATTTTTAAAGATTAAATTATTCTTGATGATATTCACATGATTTATAGCTTTAATGACCAAAATGCAATCGACAGACCTTAAATCTAAAAAAAAAAAAACGTACACACTAAATCTAGCAAGTTTTGGGTTACGCGAGAGATGGGAATCTGTAACCCTGATTATTGTAGAGGATGTTAGAACTACTAGTTCCAAACTTTAGGCAATTCTTGAGTATTTATAATGAAAACGTGCAAGAACAACCAGGGCTTATTATACAAGAAACAAGTCAGGAGATGTCCAAACTATTAAACAATATACAAAAACAAAAGTTGAGTTGTTTATATTTATTCCATGCTACAAATCATTTGATAATTTGTATAGACTGGGAAGAATATGACAAACATATATGTCGATATAAGGACAAAGTGTGGGAGCAGCAGCCACTGCTGGGGTGGACTGGACCACGACGGAAATACCTGCTCAGACCCTTCCCTGCACCCCCACCCCTTAACTCTGCTCCTCCCCTCCACATGTGTCGTTCCCAACCTCCATAACACGCACTATTCCCACAATACTGCATCACTGCCACCATGTAATAGTCAAGGAGAATTTCCCTGAGAGGAGTGTATGCAGTTTATACAAAACAAGCTAGACCTGATGAAAGTCAGTTAGTTGTCTCAAAGGGCACCGCTGTAAGCCACCAGCCACTCCGTCCTCCACAAGCCTCAACTTTCAACTACATCCCTCTCACCCAGCTGCCCAATACCCCATACGTCTGCCCTACCTATAACTGTCACTGTCGCCTTCACACACATTATAAATTTAAATACTATTTTAGTCACAACCCGTTAGTACAATAAAACAAACAAAACTGCCCACCAATCCAGGTATTGGTATGTATACACTAGGGCACAAGGTATGTTGGTTTTCCATACATCACAGGGGCTTTGGTATCACTTCATTGGAAGAGCCAGCATGGTGCTATGAAATCATATTAAGTAAATCAATGATATGGTGGCTGGGAAAAAAGTTCAGACAGTAGTAGGAAAAAAGTAAAATACACCAAACACACCGAATGAACACCAAACACACCTATCACAAGAGAAGACTCTTCACTACTGCCTGAGTACAGCGCCGCCCCGCTCCATCCCGCAGTGCTTCCAGCCAGACATCGGGTGCCTGTTCCTTCACCACACCACAACCCAGCCAACACAAACCCTCTCATGTTCACATTAATAATACACCTCATTACGTATAATTTGTGCCCAGGGAAGCAGATCAAATTAAAGGCAGTATTTTGGGGTAGGGTTAAAAAATAAAGTATTGCAACAAACAGGTAATTCATCCCTTGAGAAAGCCCACAAGGTTGCTGGATCCCGCCTCTAACTGTCATGGTATTCCAGCTTAATCCGGTAACCCCCGACAACAGAAATAATCAAATCACAGAAATTATTAAGAAACAAACAATTTTCTTTACTTTACAAGTCTTTTGCCCCTATAACTGCAGAAATAATAAAAAACATGACCACTTTTTGGCATCAGCATCCAGAGCAATTCCGGGGCCCCACCGAGGAGCGAAACCCACGGCGTAGCCCCCCAAGGGAAAAAACATGTAATCCCCACCCAGGGCCCCACACAAATAATTTGTTTTCTTTACATAAAGGGGCCCTTATGAAGACAGACCTAACACCACGCCACTTGCACCAAATTTCGAAAAAAACTGGATCCTGGAAAAAGTTTGTGTACTGAACCAACAACACCCCCCTGGGCCCCCCTTTTCCCCAACCATTAGTTTATAGGGCCGATTACCATTACCACCCACCTCAGAAAACCTTGATTTACAACTCTTTTACACCCCACAACACACCACACACACACACACAACACACAACACACACACACAACACACACCCCAAACCTGACGACACTGAGGGCAGGGGGGATAGGGACAATGAAACGACATACAAAAAAAATGGAGGAAATTTACAAGGTGGGAAAAGACGAAAGTTCCGAGATGGAAAAGCAAAAAAGGGGGCCAGCTGGACGAAGACACAAGGAATCACTGGTGTTGGAAGATTTCTTCTCACGAGTAGTCAGTAAGTGGGAAAAGTTTGGGAAACGATGTAGGAGGCAGGGTCCAACATAGCTTTTAAACAGAAGTATATAAAGCCACGGTTTTAGGAGAGTGACTCAGTACGGCCTGTGAAGAGGCGGGGGCCCGGGGCTATGAATCGAACCCCCCGCAACCAAAATATGAGTACAACTAGGCGAGTTACCCCACAAAAAAAAAAAACCCCACACACACAGCAAAACAAGACCGGGGGGGGTAATTGCGCTTTTCTTGGACGCAGGAAGGGTTTAAAAAATTTTTCCCTTTTTGAAGACCCGAAGACCCCCGTCGTCTTTAAAAGGGGACTGGGCAGGGACCCAAAAATCGTGCCTAACCGGTGGTTGTGGTTCGGCACTGGATGCGTGTAGCCATAGTAACAGCCCGAGATCAGGGCCCCCATCACCGTCGGGGCCGGTCATGGCCAGGCCCAAAAGGGATTTCCCCCCAACTCCCCCCAGGTAGAAGGAGACGAAAAAAGAAGCAGAAAAAACAAGGAAGCTTAGAAAAAAAAGGCAAGTCGAAAGAAAAACCCCGAGACAAGTAGGAGAGCAGAAATGAAAAAGTAAAAACAAGAAAGGGGGAAAAACGGGAAGTTCAAAAAAACAAAAATCCTACTAGACGTAAGAAAA